CTTGAATCAAACTGTGAAATATGATGTATTAAGAACTGTGTAAGGTTTTGAACGACCAACAATAAAAAAAATAAATAAATTAAAAAAAAAACATGAATCACTCAAAAATAAATAAATAAATAAATAAATAAATGGAGTTTAACTGACACATCCATTTATATTTTATATTATTCTGTTTTGTCTTAATTACCTATGACTATTTTCTTGCCAAAAAGGGCAGAGTAGGTACCACACTGCAGATATGGGATATAAATCCTGTTGATTCTCTGGCTTACTGAGAAAATATTTGCTCATCCCTGCTCAACCCTGGCTACCTGAACCCAATGCCTAGATGAGCCATCTCCTAACTTTGAGATCTTGGGTTGACTTTGGGTTTACCTGAACTGTTGAGCTGACAGGATTAGATGAACTTTTTTTTAGGTAAATTATTTATAACATAGTGTAGCATTTACTAAACACTTCATTAATATTAATTACTTCCGAGAACAGTGTTTGGCATTTTGTAAGCACTTTGTACATATTAGTGATACACCTTTGCCACTACCAAATAGTCCTAAGAGTGTTCAGTGAAACTAATTTTAAGAAATATGTTTATGATGCCCAAATTTTGAATAAAAGTGGTGATTTACAGTCATTGAATATGTTTTCTTTTCAAATTATGTATTTTTTCCTTTAAAAGATATTTGAGTACTTAATATTATAATATGAAAATGTTACATGTCTGATTCACAGAAGACAATTCACCTTGGGTATTGTAAGTAACTTCAGATTCCAAAGCAGTTTCTGTTGCACTATGTAGGCAGATGGTTGCAAACCAGAAGTTATCAAAAATTATATAATGATATAAAATGGTCTTAAAAATTTTTTAAATTATAAAATTATATCATTTTCTGAAAAGAAAGTTTAGAAGTTGTGGGGATTTTATTGTTTTAACAGTCTATTTGATAATGGAGAAAACTGTGATTGACTGGGTGCCTATACTTACGTCCATGAACTCCACATTGGCTTTGGGACCAGTCGTCTCATTGAGAATCTTAATAGCCACAGGAATCTTCACTGTTTCTCCTTCAGGTACCCAAATGCCCTTTCAAGAAAAATAATATTTACATTAAATCCATAGTAAGATATGGATACTAAATATAGCAGAAATAAAATTTAATCGCTCAATCTACTCTTAAGCATAATTATAGATTCTATATTTTTCATTCAATGAACATTTATTTAGCACCTGTTATAACAAGATACTCTGCATCTTTTTTATCTGCTTTCATTTTTGAAGATGGATAAAACATGCACTCTATGTCAAGTTGTCTATACTACTATCAAATTCAACTTGTGGGCATGAGAAAAAGCTTTGAAAAGTGAAGAAAACATTGAAGCAGTATAGAAGAGCAGTATCTGATTTGGAAGATATTTTCAGTCTTCTATTTTTTAATATATTCTCAACTCTAATTTAGAAGATTAGGCTAAGAAATGTTGAAGGTTCTTTTCAGCTTTAATGCTATCTATTCTGCAACTATTCTGAACTTTTTCAAGTTCATAATGAATTTTAAAAGGTGATTACTTTAGAATTAGTGTTCAGACACAATTGCTAGGGATTACTGCACAAATATTAATTTTTATTATCATATCCCATGTGTATATAAAGGACTGTTATTATCTTTGAGGTAAATATAAAATATTTAAATTGGCCATTGCTAATTCTCTCTTTTCTTATCAATTTGTAATTGTAACATTTGAACAGAATCTATATATTGGGAAAGTATAAAGTTGATAGAGTTTGAGTAAAGAACACCCTCAAGCTAAATAGCATTTCTACATGAATTTAATTCAAACACTTAAATGACGACAATTATTTTGATAGGACATATGAGAATGCTTGGATTATATAACAATATTTTCTTAAAAAAATATTTCCCAAATGAACACAGAAGGAAATACGAGGTTATGAGAGAAAAATAAAAATTCCCAAATTATAATTCTGTAGCCCTAACACAAAAAATATTATGCAATTTTAACATTAACATGAAAGAATAAAAAATATTCATTACTCCTGAATAGAATATCTACATTTCCTCTCTTTCTTGATATCAGCTGCTTATATTCACATCACTTTGAACATCCATGCTAAAACATAGATAAAATTGTACTATTCAAAGTTGTAATAATATGAGGAGACCTAAACACAGAATTGTTAAAAAAAAATAACAATAATAGAAGCAAAAAAAAAAAAAAAAACCAAAAAACTACTTTGACCTTTAAAAGGTAAATTTAGAACTATGGTTTTCCTAGTCAGAACCAATAGGGAAATTTAAATATCAAATGCAAAATAATAGGCTAAGCTCCTTATGGTATAAAATTAGAAAAAAACAAATTAAATTAGAAATGGAAAAAAGTAAGTAAAAGCCCAGGACCTGCGAACCTATATTTTCACACTGATGGTGTCTAGGGTAGAGAACGTAATTATCATTATTGTATAAAATGACCACAGAATGTGGTACTTTATTAAGACACAGCATCAATATCAAAGTATTCCTAAATAATACTTTTAAAATAAGAATATGAATTCAGTGTGAATTAATTTTATTGCTTTGGAAATAAGTATGGTTATTATTTTCTAAGGCTGTCCAGATAAAAATTCAACTATGCTGATACCTATGATATTGGTTCTAATCTTTCATGCTTACACATAGTATATCTCCATTTTGGAGGAAAAATTACTAAATAATTGGTTGAGCAATTTGCATTTCTGTAGTCAAGAATAATCCTTTATAGTTTAAACTTAGAACTACTGATATATTGATTAAAACCTAGGACCAACCATTCACATGCCAAGCATAAAATCCAAACAAACTTATGGAACTTCTAATAAACTTTAATTACAATTAATTTCAGTGAAAGGAAACATTCATGAACAACAGAAAAATAATTAGTGTTAGTAAAAATACTGATGCAACTTTATTATTAAATATTTAAATGTGTAGTATTTTTCCTTGCTGAGGTCATCGATAGTATTTAGTCCTAAAATATCATATTTCCATGGTTTAAAATAAATTTTAATTCCTGAACTATATAATAAGAAAGAGTGTGATTATACTTTAGAACAATCCAATAAGTAATTTTAAAAAGGGAAGTGTCTTTTAATACATCTAAAGTTAGCATTTATCTCATGTCTATCTTCTCTATATACAAACAAATCTGCTAATTCACGTTAAATTTTGTCAGTGTAAATGCAGAATTGTTAAAACACCAATATTTAAGAGAAGAAAGCTCTAATATATTTCTATTGACTTATCCTATAGCTAAGCACAGACCCTTCAGTCATATCTATGGATATAGAGAATTGAAGCAATTACCAGATAATTCTTGTGGGAGAATCCTGCAATAGATGATTAGAATGGGGATTTATGGTAGCTAAGTGATCCAGAATGACTGTCAGTGTTAATCCAATTCACTGTATTACTTTTAACTTGCCAATTTCTAAATTCATGACTGGAATTTATGATTATACATATATTAATCCAAAAAATTTGCTTGATACTATTTAACATAGATACAAATATAGGAAATACAAACTTATAAATTAAAATTGATATATTATGTAGATTAAAAATTTAACTTATGCAATGATAAGTCCAAGTCCATCTTTTCTATCACAATATAAATAAATATGATATTTTTTTTGAACATACAAATAATTTGAAGATTAGAAAGGCATCACATCATCTAAAATAGTGCCTATGCAAATTAAGTGCCCAGTTAATAAATTCAAATTTAATTGAACAAATTATACACACTAACAGATTATGAAAACTTCTGCATCTTGGCCTTATAACAGAGTTATAATTCTAGAAAGATGAGATTATTTTGGAACACTCAGCAGAGAAAAATAAGGTCTATATTCTAACTTGTAATATTTTCTGTTAAAAAATCATGGTATTACTGGGCAAAAAAGAACCATTTTAAAATGTAAAACTCCTAAAATCAAATCTAATTTAGTTAATATGTTTGTAAGTATGTAGGCTTGCACATAGCTTTAAGAAAAATATTAAACTGTAGATGTAAATTTTGTAAATTGTAATAGTGAATTACAAGAAGAATTCAGCACTATCCTAGCAGAGTTTCTTATTCTTGTTATTTACCATTAAACAAATTTTACTACAATTAACCTCTGGCCTGGCCTCTGAATTGGTCTTATAATTAAGCTAAATAAGTAAACATACAAATGCTACCATTTGAGCTTTTCCTTTCCAGAAATCCCTCTCATTGAAAAACCATGTTGTCTTCTATTTCCTCCTAGCTGACCTGAATTTCTCATATAAAGTCAACTTTAGTTTGCACAGAATGTCAGCATCAAGACTATAAACATTAACCACTAAATCATATATGTAAACAGGTAAGCAAAATATGGTTTAGGACCTAGACCTTTCCTATTTATATATAAGCACATCCATATGAATTCCAAAGAGATCAATCAGGTAAGTTCTGGAAAAGGATTCTTTCAGATAAGAGTGAGAGAAGAGCAAGGGATTATGGTTCATTGCCTGGGCATGTCTGGGATTTCATGGAGCAATGTGTAGGAGGAAAGGGAAATGCATTGGGGCTGGGTATTTTGGATACAAAAGGGAATTCAAAGGCAGGGTGATATTGAAATGGGATCACTATGGTTGCTCATGCCTTTAATCCCAGAAACTCAGGGAGGTGAGGCAGGAGGATTGCAAATTGGAGGCCAGTGTCAACAATTTGAAAAGCCCTAAGCAACCTAAGGAGACCCTGTCTCAAAAAATAAAAATGACTGGGGGTGTAGTTTTGTGTACCCCTACCCCTCTACCCCTGGGTTAAATCCCCAGTACCAAAAAAAAAAAAAAAGAAAGAAAAAGAAAAAAAAGAAGAAGATGAAAGGAAGAAAAAAAAAAGATCAGAAAGGCCTCTAGAGCAAGAACTCTATTTGCCTATCTCTCAAGACTCTATTTATCCCAGCTTGTTCAATAAAAATTAATGAATTCATTTATGCAGCAACTTCTCAATACTATAAAGGTCCTCCTCTCTGAATATTAAAAGGAAATTAGGTTGGCTAAAGTAATTACTTTAGCTATTATTTTTTTAAAAGGCTGAAACAAAACTTAAATAACTGATAGTAAGCGTTGTTTTGTACTTACTTTATAAACGGTTCCAAAAGCACCTGAGCCAAGGACTTTTACTCTTTTGAGTTCAGTTTCTTTCAAAATACGAAGCTGAGCTTGGTTGGGTGCTGTACCACTGGGAGTCAGAGGTTCCACCAGCTGCGGAGTAAATTGATAAAATTATATAACTTTCAACTCAGTAATCAGTCCTGTTCTCAATCCCTCTCTGCCATTTTCTCTCTCATATAAAAATTCAAACAAACTTTATACAGCAAACAAAACTTTTATGATTTGAACCACTTACCACCACAGACACACATTTAGACACTCCTTTAGACCCTATCTTCTGCTCTTCACCTAGGTGAATTCAAGAAACAAATGTGTTCTACCTTGAGACATGGTAGACTAGGAGACAAGGTGCATAAAAAATAGAAATGCTGTCTTTTTAGAGCTCAACATCTATCTGGGCAACTAGGACAAACATGTCAGAAGAGGGAAAAGCACACATGCTGATTCCCTATGACAGAGCTTCTAAAACTGCAGTGAGTGCATTAATCACCCAAGGTTCTTGTTGAAATGAAGATCCTTGTTCAGAAAGTCTGGATTAGGCCTGCAAATTTGCGTTTTTACAGAACTCCAGGTGGTAACTATGTAAGAGGATGGTCTTTAAACTCATTTTAAGTAGCAAGGCCCTACTGTACCTTCTCGATTAAAAACATAAATAAAAATTTAAAAATTGATGATTTGATTCAAGATCATAGGTGAATACTATGGAATGCAAAGGAATAAAATCACCTTTAGGGACTGAGGCTCATCAGTCTGGCTTCCTAAAGGAGATATGCTTTAAGACCATCTTGTGATAAAGAAAATGGATTGGCATCGGGAGGGTACAATCATGGTGGGGAAGAGTTTGGGCATAGCATTAGGAGAAGGAAGAAGACATGGAGGAACCCATGAGGAAATGAGACAGGTCTGAGGATGAGATTAGAGTGGGAGATGCCAGGTCATAAAGTGGGCTGGTTGGGTATAGCCAAAATGTAAAATCAGGCTGACAGTTTTAGATGACACAGCAAGAGAGGATGGATGAACAAGGGAAAGCTATGTGAATGGCTGCTGATCACTTGCACGTGTGAGAGAAAAACTGTCCACAGTTGTCATGTGTTATGCACAGTTTCACTGTTGGAACTTTCATTTACCAGTGGTCAACTGTATTTGGAAAATGTTAAAATGGAAAATTCCCAAAATAAACAATTCATAGTCTTAAAGAACTTTTATTAAAGTATGTTCTTATAATTGTTCCACTTTATTATTAGTAACCATTATTAATCATTCACTGTGCCTGATTTATTATAAATTGAAGTTCATCAGAGTTATGCACATATAGGATAAAACACAGTATAGGGAGAGAGGGAAGAGTTAGTACAGTCCATGGTTTCGGAATCCAGGCATCCCAAGGTCAGGGGGAGCTTGGAAAGTATAATGCGTGGATAAGGTGGGACAAGTACTGCACATAAGGGAGAAGCTGGGTACCAAAAGGCTTATATCCTTTGCTAAAATATTTGGTTTAATTCATGCTTGAGGCAAAAAACAAGTGAGAAAAGTAGGACTTTTTTTTTTTTCATTTTTAAGTTAAGGATCTAAACTTTAAACAAAGACAAATAGCCTGTTTTTTCTCTGCATAAGGAAATAATTAAGGGCTACTCCTACTCAAATTGTCTTGAAACAACCTCAGTGTTTCAAAATGTCTGTTTACAAGACTAAGTGCACTGTGGCCCTCCAGCATGGGTATTATTATCATGCTTCTGTGAACATGATAGCCTACTTAATTAGTGGAACAACAGAGTCCTGAATGTAGGTAAATGTAGCAGTAGCAAGAATTTTAGAATGAACACACAAAAAATAATCCATAAATTTAGGTTATTTTCTAATAGGTTGATAACTAATCTGGTTATAATTACATTCAAGTTGCATTTAAAAAGACTTGGGAAAAAAAATCACTAAATTTGTTCAATGTGAAAAAAAATCTCCAGCAGAGATTTCCCTTCACTTGAAGACAACTGCATTAGAGGGAGTTGTTTGATAGATGTGGATACACACGTATGATGAGTCACTTTACTGAATCACTTTTAAATATTACATACAAAAGTGATATGAAATCATGAAAAATTGGGAAGGGAGTTTCAGCATTTTGAACTAGCTAAAATATATATTAGATATATATGTCTTGACATATAACATGCAATAATTTCTTATTTTGAAAAATGCGGAGTTCTACCTGAGATAGTCTATACATTTTGTTTATAATTGCTAAGTTACAAATGTATCGTCACTTAAAATTTTATGCAAATTTATTTTTCTAGAAATTTGAATATTATTTCTTTAAAAGGAGCATATTTTCATTTTATGAGCCAGCAGTGATACGGTAGAGAGAGCACTGAGTTTAAATTTAGAGGACTGTACATCAGTGCCACTACTCACAGACTTAAATTTTATTCCTCTTGGCCCCTCATTTCCCACCTGTTAAATAGGTATAGCAATAATCAAGTGAGAGGGCTGTTAATGGATGAAATGGGACAGTACTGTGGAATATTCTGGAACATTTCCTGACATATTATAGGCACTGAATCTATCATTCTTCAAGGGATAGGATCATGTCTCATTAATACATTTTTTAATCAAATCACCTACCAAACATCAAGCTTATAATATATCTAAAAAAACTGTGCTTTGAAAAAAATATCTTTTTAACTTTTATGAATATAATAGAAGAAAAAAATCTAGAGAAAAATGATCTGGGAAAGCATATCAATTTTAAGTGTATTCCAACAATGTATTGTCCTTTCAAAACCTTTCTATTTTGTTGGAAAGTTCTAGCTTTGGCATTTAAGGATTCAAATTAATCCTCTTAAAAATTCATCTTCTTTTTTAGATAGTGGTCAAAAATCACAATAACTTATTTTACTGAGAGAAACATGGGAAATTCTACAATTACTTAGTCAGCAAATGTAAAATAATTTGGTCCTAAACAATGATTTTTTTTTTTTTTTTTTGTGGTTCTGGAGATCGAACCCAGGGCCTTGTGCATGTGAGGCAAGTACTCTACCAACTGAGCTATACCCCCAGCCCCAAAACAATAAATTTCTTTACAAAATAAAATCCATTAAATAAAACCAATACACATGTGTTGATTTAGTAAGGAGATGACAACTTGAAGGACATTCTTAGCACTAGCACTGCATTAAAAAAAAAAAGTAAAGCAATACAACTTTGGCATAATATTAAAAACTTCTTATACAAGGTTAAGAGACTTTCTCTTCTATTTATTTGACACCTAAATATCCACTTCTGTTAGAAGTCTTAAGTTCCTTTCCAACTCTGTCTTACTTTACTTTTCAGAATTCTCTTACCAATTGCCCCAAGCTGCCCATGAGGGGGACTTCTAACTGCCTATAATCTCTAGTTAACTTGAACACGTATAACATATGTGTTGTTTCCTACCTTTCATTCACAAATACATGGTTGAAAGTAATCAAGTGATCTGTAAATATCCAGTTAATGTACACATTACTACTATGTCTTCTCATGTACATACTTGACTATCTTTATCTTGCTTAAATAAGTGCATTGAGGAGAAAGCTTATTCCAGTTTAGAAAACTCCAATCCTTAGAAAGTGTTATCTTGAACGTAGCTGTAAAGTAGTTGAATCTTTCATATTATTCTCCTATCTAGTATCAACTTTTGAAGGAAAAGAGCTAAGACTGAAATCATTAGCAGCATGCAAAAGGTATATAAGAATGAATATTCCCAGCCAGGTGCAGTTGTGCACGCCTGTAATCCCAGCAGCTCGGGAGGCTGAAGCAGGAGGATTGTGAGTTCAAAGCCAGCCTCAGCAATGGAGAGGTGTTAAGCAACACAGTGAGACTCTGTCTCGAAATAAAAAAACAAAATAGGCTGGGGATGTGGCTTAGTGGTTGAGTGTCCCTGAGTTCAATCCCTGGTATCTCCCCCAGTACCGCCCCCCCCCCAAGAAAAGAAATGTATATTCTCCTTCCTATGTTAAGAGGAAAAGTCAGATTGTCACATTAACAATAAGAAAGAAAACAAATCTAGGGTAGCCTGTTTCCAAACAAAATTGCTTCAAATTGTTTAGGCAGGCACTGCTATGGGGATCTGGAGAAAGACATCAGTGGAGCTGAGAATGGTCTGGTGTTTCCCCTGCCCCACTACCCTGAACAGTGAAGGTCTGCATGCTAGAAAATTCAGTGTGGCAATGTGAAGGAAATTATCATAATTTATGGGTAGTTTTCATATTCACAGTAACCATCAGGCATAATATTAAATGCATATCATAAATTGTTTTGTAAGTTCTGCGATTATATCACCTGTTATGTCGGTCTTTCATCGCTGGTATAATGAGATCTTTGGTTACCAATTTAAGGTGCTAATTATAGGACACTGTATAGAAAAACTATATGCTTTCAAATGTATTCCTAGTTCTGCCATTGATAGATACTTTCTATCTCCTCTATTGAGATATCTTCTACCCATATCTTGCTAATGGCAACCACTACCCCCAAAACCTGATCTGTCTTTTCCCCAGTGTCATACATCCTGGATCGCTGACATCTAAGCTTTTCAAGTCATGAATCTACCTTAATTACTGCTACTATTTACTATGATTCTTGTTCAGCTTTGTGTATAAAAAAAAAGTCATCAGGAAACTGAACAGAACATTCGCTTGCATTTAAAAAACTGAGTAACATCCAAATGTCTAAAATGCTATTGCAAATCTCCAAACATATGAAGAGAAATAATGAACACTCTACCTCTGTTTCCAGGAATCTTCTCAAGGCTCTTTTCTTTTTGATGCTCTTCCTTCTAACATAAACTGCAAAGGTCAGACCTACGATGACCAGGATGAAGAGACCTCCAATGACTCCAGCAGCAATTAGGGGAGTTCTGCCAACCAGAATGAAAAAAAAAAAAATGCACATGAAGAAAGAAAAAAAAAACAGAAGAAGAGGAAAGATCTGTAGTGCAAGACATTATCCACATTGCATAAATTTGGTCAATTAGAGGAAACGCAAAGAAAAAGAAATAAAAACGCACTAGTGCTTAAAAAAATATTTTCTCAAGGCAAAACAGTATTTTTGTGTTGTTTTGCTTATAAGTAACAAACCATGCACATACAACTAATCTTTGGGGATAAGCAGCCACAACATACCATTTCATGAAAAAATGTAAAATTTGGTAACAAGGTAGGAGATATGCTAAGATGTTAGTATGGGAACATTTTAACCTATTTTAGTTTCACTATTATCCACAAATAAATGGAAAATATATTTTCATATTATCATTGTGGTATATAATTTTATTTTCAGCATTTTCTATAAAGCAAGCTGTCAACAGTGGCACTACTGACTTTTGGGGCTAAATAATAGCTTGCCACAGGCACTAGTCTGTGCATTTTAGGAGGTTTCGTCCAAGGTCTCTGTCTACTAGATGCTGTAACACCCATCCTCCAGTGACGATAATGTCTCTTGACATTGTCAAATATCTGCCAACATCAATCCTAATAGAGAACTGCTTCTCCAAAGCAAAAATGAGTAGTGCAGAGGCATGTGAATCCCCATAACTCTGAAGTAAGAGGGTACTGATATGACCAGTTGTTATTACTGAAAGTGTAATTTGAAACTTTAATAAGGACAACTCAGAATAATGGGTAGGAGAAACCAAAAAGGGTCACACATTTTCAGTGTGATGATGACTGGAGTATGTATCATATGTAGTATAAGCAAATGTTTCCAAGCATTCTATGTTCACAAAAGAGATCTGCACATTAAATATCACAAAAATATAAATAATTACCAAGTAGGCATTCAGATAAGACTAGAAATTTTTGTTCTTAAAATGTTTTTCTAATGTGTTTTTAGCAAAGATACAATTTTGAAGCTGAACACTTCTTACTGTTCTCTAAGGTAAATTATTTCCTTGTTTGAAGAGTAATATTCATGTTTTTTTTAACATCTTGTTCTAGAATAAAGCAGTCTTGAAATATATTAATTTTCTATACCATAGCAAAACACATAGAGGTTACCTAAAAGATATTTGACTAGGAAACCTTTATAGATATCAAAACAAAAAAGAATTCCCTGTATGCTTATAGTTTCTAAAGTATTTTATAGCATATATTCCTATTTTAGAAGAACCTATTCTACATAGTTTCATTCTATTAGAAAAAAAATTACTTACACATGCAAAATAAACTTTGGTTCAAAAATGGATCAGAAATAATGATAGTAGATGATCCTAAATAAAACCTTGGAATTCTAAAGAAATCTTGAGACAAAAATCTGTGTAACTACTTCTATAAATGAAGTCATGTCTTCTAAAGATTATGGCTGTTATATTGTCAAATAAAACTGCTGAAAATCTAAAAAAGTAGTTCATCCTAACAGTTGTTTCTTGACAACTCAAAGTACTAAAGCATACTGAAATGTTGCTATAATTCAACTAGATTTTCCTAAATCAGATTTTCTAAATTTATCAAAATCTATGCTGGGAAAATTAAACTGTAGTATAGACACAAACTCATCCTTGTGAAATATTTTTTGTATATAACACTGAATTTTTGGACATGCCACATAAATATGTAATTCAGAAAATATTTCAGATTTTTGACCAAAGGCATAATTTTAAGCACAAGTGCCTAATGTATTCTTGAAAAGATATTACTGCATAAAGAGCTGTAATTTTTTGTTCTTTAACCCCCTTTTTGGCAAAGAATCTATGAATAATCAAGAATAGTGTCCAATATTTTCTTAACTGTAGATTTAGATCAAACTCTAAAATCTCTGCTTATTTATTTTGTAAAGGAATATTTATATGTATTTATGAGAATAAATGTGTGTATATACATATATGTGTTGTATATATATACAACACATATATATGTCAGTGTCAATGTCACAGTAAATCTTTAAACATGCTCTATTATGATTCTTTGTTTGTTGAGTATTTTTTAAGGATAACTTCCAACAGAACAAAACAAGTAATTTCTGTTTTTCTAGTTAATGTTTACTTTCAATACTTTCTCACAGTAGTTTCTTTTTTTGATTTATATTTCTTTACTGTTTTCTCTCACCACTCTGTGAAAATGGTAGAGCTACAAACAACCTGAAGAAATGAAGAATTTCACTTCTGTACCTAAAGATCAAACATGAATATCTAGTTGAACATTCTCAGAGGCCAACTTCTTCATATTCTCACATAATTTTTTTTTCCCTTGGAAAAAATAGTTAACCACAAAGAAGCAGGCAGTAAGATCAAGGAGGAGGATATTCATTCAGTAGGGCAAGTTCTCTACTTGTCTAGTAAGAGATTGTGATAAGAAAAGGGACTGATCCAGATTAAGATTTGACAGACATAACAAGTGGACATGAAGCCCATTCTGGATTGGGATGGTTTGGACAAAGCAGCTACAGAGTAGGATAACTTGAGAAGTCCGAATATGCATAATTAAACAGATGGGGTGAATATTTGCTGCCATAGGAAGACATAAACTATAAACTGAGAAGATGGGTTATAGAATAGTTGGATCTTAATATGGAAAAATTATGCATATATCTGTATTTGTGCTTATAGATATGGATCTAGATTAATATCAAATAAAACACTAAGTAGTAGTTGTGGATAGTGTGAATATGATGCACTTATTTTGTGTATTTATGTAGTGTATTTATTAATTTTCTATAATTTATATTTCTTTGGGAATAAAAGTTCACTCAATTTGAGAAAAATCCAGGAAAATGTAAATCATGCTCTAAAAGTTTAGTCTTGGGGCTGGGGATGTGGCTCAAGCGGTAGCATGCGTGCGGCCCGGGTTCAATCCTCAGCACCACATACAAACAAAGATGTTGTGTCCACCAAGAACTAAAAAATAAATATTAAAATAAATAAATAAATAAATAAATAAATAAATAAATAAATAAATAAATAAAAGTTTAGTCTTGTAACAAGGGCATTTTATTTACAGTTTTCTCAACTATTTACTTGAATTTTTTTTTCAGTTAAGATTTCCTTTTGCTCTTCCCTGTCCATTTTACCATAAGCATCCATCTGCATATATTTTCTATGCATTATAGCTTAATGTACCCAATAAATTTAATTACCATTATGCTTCTTACAATTAATATTATGTTCCCTAAGCCAAGCTAATTTGAAAAAGTTGATCCTATTTAAACATTTTTTATTCCCATCAATTTTTGAGAATTCATCAATATTTATAGATGTTGAATAGAGGCCTACTTTTCTTTCTCCTCTTTTACTCCATGTGCAAATGTTTAACTCTTCATGAGGACCTAAGATAAAGAGCTACACTAAGATAAAGAGTCTTTCAATAGCTGTACATCTGTCCTATTAGCCTATTGCTATTCCTGAGAGTTTTTCTCCTGTATGTGAGTCATAAGAACCTCCAAGTATCTCAGATACTAGTGAGATCAGAGGAGTTAAATAATAAGGGACCTGGATTTACTATAATCATTTATATAGAAGAATTAGTGTTTGGTTGTTGGTTTGTCTTTGGCTGTCCATTAAAAATGGTTGGCGCCCCCTACAGTATAAAATATAGGATAATTAGTGTCAAGTTTAAGCTTAGACTAAAGAGATGTTATCAATCAGTGGTTTACCTTATTCTGTGATTTGAAAAAAGTAAAATGAGACCAATATCATCCCATCATTTAAGGAACTAATATCACAAGGATTGTGAATTATAAATGAACTTTGCTAATCTATTTAAGACATGTGATTTAATTTCAGAAACAAAATAATGTATAATATTCTATTTCCTTGAATGCTATTACCTTATAAAAAGCAGTATCTTCAAACTATATGATTCACTTAAAGGACACATTGTCATCATTCCTTAGTGTACTTGAACTATGTTGTTCATGTCAGTGAGGAATATAAGATGTGAGAAGATACAATGATAAGTCATTTTAATAAAAATCCAAATTTGTTCCTTCATTGAACTTTTTCCTTCCAGATATCAGATATAGTATGCTGAAGTCAATATTATTTGTGATTAAAACTCAAAGTATTCTTCAAAAATATTTTGCTATACCCTTCCAAATGTATGTTAGTAGATGGCTATCCTTTTAAAATGAGCAGCATTGCTGTTAGTTTTAATTTGTAAAACAAGTATTTTCACTAATAGTCATTGCCAATAATGCTAAATTTATGAGATTTTTTTAAAAAATGGTAATGCAAATCCATCACCAAATAATTGGCTAATTACATTCATGTTTTTTTTCTTCATTTTTGAATACAGAATAATCTTCAATTTAAGATAAAGGAAATAGTTTGTAGTCCTATAGTACACTGTTGGTATATAATTTGCAACTAATGGTATTGATTTTAAATGAGAAATTTCCATTTTACAAAGCTCATATGTTACTAAATAACTTGAACACTGGTCTTCAGAATTCGTTGAATTCTGTTTCAGTTAAACCTTTTCTGCCTATAAATAAGTAGTGAGTCAGACTTAGAGCTGCATCACTATTTGTTTATAGGCAGTAAAGGTTTAACTGAAAATGGGTGTGTGTGTGTGTATATATCTTTTATTGTATGTAGGAGATAAAGGCAAACAAAAACAATGGGCTAGTCCGATACATTCAGAATAGGAATATTTTAAACATAAATTTTCATACCATAAACTTTGCAGGTCTCAAAAAAAAGGTTAAAATATTGTAACATTTTTCTTTAGTGTTAATTTCATACTCTGTATGTATGATTTTTCCTTATAGTGATTGCAGCAGAAAGACACTTTGGATTCAGAGTATTCTAAATTTCCATCATTAGAATTTACCATCATTATTTGTGTTTCTTGCTTATGATCTAATTCAGCTTAAATACAAACCCATTCATTCTTCACCAAAACTAATGCAAGGAAAACACAGTAG